CAGAACCGATGTAACAGGAGAGTCTCCCTATAATAAAAGTCTGAAGACAAGTGTACTGTCTAATGGTACTTTAACCAATTTAGTAGGCCTTTAAAATGAAGGATATTGGCCATGTACACATATACTGTAGTATATTAGTACAGTATAATCCACTCATCCAGAGATAAGCCCATGCCTGGAATTACAACAAATATTTTTTCATTTTCCTGTAATAAGCCCACATCCTGACGTTGAGTCAGAAAATATATGTTGGCACCCTGTGCTTGTTTGTAGGGTAAGGTAGCCGAGTACAGTAGAATGGCTTGACCCTAAAAATAAAATGCATGTCTCGGATAAACATGGATAGCGGATTCATCCTGCACAACACACCTACATATATATATATATTTATAAACTACATTTTGAATACGTTTTTTTTAGAAGAACGATTTTTTTTTCAAAAAGTGATTTCCCCAGATTTGGGACTTGTGAAAACCATGGTTACCACATCAAAAAAACACCAAAATATGCAAAATATCATGATTTCCAACCCAGAATTTGACCCCCGCAAGTAGAATTGTTTTTCTTAAAATCTGTCTGAAATTAAATATCGCCTACTCGGTAACAGAAATACTCACGTTTTAGCATAGGTCATTCCGGTTGATTTTTCACAATATTTACACATGTGCTGAGTACAAAAATAGACTACATGAAAAGCTAGCTTTTGTTGTGTAGACACAGATTTGTAAATGCCCAAAATTGTAGTCTCAAACCAAATTCTTTTTTTTTGAAAAATTATGAAGCCCACGTAGTCCACTTCATCATGTTTATGCCAATTTTAGTGCTGATTTTTTTTTTTAATTTTGATACATGTTATATTACAGGGGTTATTCATTGTATAAAAATATCACCCTTGGCCACCGTACGCTACTGTACTCTGCTACCTAAGCTGCACTGGTCAATCTATTGTCAGTTGAAATTGTTATTGTTTGATAACCATCGGAACACTTATTTTTAATATTATGTATTTCATGAATAGGTGTCCCAGTTCATGGTGGATCAAGCAAAGGATGCAGGATCTGACAATGAGTTGGATCCTAAGGAACATGAGCAGGTGATTGCTTCTATCTTCGAACATGAAGACGCCAACAAAGATGGATTAATTTCCCACGAAGAGTTCAGCGGCCCCAAGCATGACGAGTTATAATAGGTGCTAAATAAATTTTAGAATTTAGATTTTACGATGTATTTTAAGAGAAAGAGATCTAAATGTGTACTTGTTCCAGGCAAATAGTAATAAAGTTTTATTTAGATGGCTATACAGGATAAATTATTTTTATGGTGCTTAAATGGATTTTTGTTAAATAGATCATATGTTAAATAGAGAATGTGTTAAAAAGATACCTAATGTGAATTAAATATAAATCAACAAAAACAAGGCCAAAAATAATTTTTGAAATGTTCATACCCACACTTGTTTTTAAAGCCTACCCTATAATTCGTTGTTAAGTTTTAAACAAGCATGAAATGCAGTCATTTTATAGCTTTTGATATGTAAAAGTATTTTGATAAATAAAAGTTTTGCTTACCTATCTGCATTAATATTTTGAGAGCCAATTTTATACCTTGAGAGAAATTGTTTGTGTGTGTGTGATGTCAAGTATATTCTCTGTCTCTTGTTTACATGAAACAATTTATCTTACGCTGGAGTATCACCACTATGCTGAGAGTACAGCCATTTGGAAAGGGAGATAATCAGTGTTAAACGGGTGAATGGATGTGTCTGTATATTTCTGTCTGCACAAGTAGGTCGTAGCATTTGATATGTGTTTAATCACAAGGTTTTCTGTTAAGCAGTTGACACAATATATTGTCATTTGTCCAAATTTTTGATATTTTTTTCACAAAGTATTTATATTTTCCATTCAGCATTTATAATTTAAATACTGATTTACTGATGCAGTATAATTTCTGGAAATGCTATATTATCTTCAATTTGTACATATTTTGATATGAAATATGTATTTGAAAGTATTTTATTTGTTTTTAATGATAAATACCTGCTCTGCTTGAGGTATTGTTAATTTATTTTACCAAAGTTAAAAGATATACATTTTCCTGTTAGAGGTATGTTAGTAGTTGAATTGAAAGTTTTCAGCATGATATCTAGTCTTCAAATTGGATAATAAACTGGAAGCTTAGTAATATGTGTTCACCAAAATGTATTCTTAGGTGAACTTCCCATGGCTAAACATCAATAAACTTCCCACGGCCAAACACCAATAAACTTCCCAAAACCAAACACCAATAAACTTCCCACGGCCAAACCCCAATAAACTTCCCAAAGCCAAACACCAATAAACTTCCCACGGCCAAACAACAATAAACTTCCCACGGCCAAACCCCAATAAACTTACCACAGCCAAACACCAATAAACTTCCCAAGGTCAGAGGTCAATAAACTTCCCATGGCCAAACACCAATAAACTTCCCACACTCAAACACCAATATTTACATTTCTACTGAACTTGGACTCAATATACTACTTAACATTTTAAAGGTTATTTTTCAATGAACTTTTCGGTTGGCGTATGAATACATCAGCATATTATCAACCTGATTACTCTGTTATTTCGCGGAGCGCGGGAAGTAGTTCCACTCATAGATTGTTTTCAATTTATAATTTTTTTGTCAGAATATTCAATTGAATTCAAATAATAATTTACATCTTAATTTGCTTATTCATCTTACCAGGACGACGTCTCACAGTGAGTGATGACGTCATGCGTTTTAATACCTTCTGTGGTGTTAGACTTGCACAAGGCCGATATTTTAGAAATTATACGAACAAATATCATCGCTCTGAATGTAAATATAAGGAAAGAATCCCATTTTGTTGACGTTTATGAGGTATAAACCTCAATTGGTCTTGAGACAAATTCAAAATGAACTGCTTCGCAGTTCATAAAATTTGTCTCAAGACCCATTGAGGTTTATACCCCATAAACCTCAACAAAACAGAATTCAATCCTTAAATAAACTTCCCACTGCCAAACCCAAATAAACTTCCCAAGGTCAGAGGTCAATAAACCTCCCACGTTCAAACACCAACTTTCCCACTGCCAAACGCCAATTAGCTTCCCACAGCCAAACACCAAAAGTATATAATTGATAATTCATCAAATGAATTACATAATTAATCGGAGAACGAGATTGAGAATTTCTAGTAATTGTTTTATGTATATGTCTTCCTTTGATTGTTAAGAGATGCATGTTTTCTTCTAACAGTTTTTAATTGAGGAACAATTTACGAAATATTTCATGAAATTTACCAATCACTTTGAAAAGCGATTTCATCACAAAATGATTGACATGTATATTTAACATATATTCTGTTGTCATAATTTTTTTTTGTCAAAGTTGAATTGCTTGTGTATTTCTGTGGATATTATTTGATGGCATTAGCTGTGCTTTTGCTTGCTGAGTAAAATGAGATACCATGCAGTAGTTACAGTCCAGAACTACCTTAAGTAATCCTAGTCAATAAGACTGTATAGTGACTGTAGAGGTTCAGTACAGCAGTCCAGAACTACCTTAAGTAATCCTAGTCAATAAGACTGTATAGTGACTGTAGAGGTTCAGTACAGCAGTCCAGAATTACCTTAAGTAATCCTAGTCAATAAGACTGTATAGTGACTGTAGAGGTTCAGTACAGCAGTCCAGAATTACCTTAAGTAATCCTAGTCAATAAGACTGTATAGTGACTGTAGAGGTTCAGTACAGCAGTCCAGAATTACCTTAAGTAATCCTAGTCAATAAGACTGTATAGTGACTGTAGAGGTTCAGTACAGCAGTCCAGAATTACCTTAAGTAATCCTAGTCAATAAGACTGTATAGTGACTGTAGAGGTTCAGTACAGCAGTCCAGAATTACCTTAAGTAATCCTAGTCAATAAGACTGTATAGTGACTGTAGAGGTTCAGTACAGCAGTCCAGAATTACCTTAAGTAATCCTAGTCAATAAGACTGTATAGTGACTGTAGAGGTTCAGTACAGCAGTCCAGAATTACCTTAAGTAATCCTAGTCAATAAGACTGTATAGTGACTGTAGAGGTTCAGTACAGCAGTCCAGAATTACCTTAAGTAATCCTAGTCAATAAGACTGTATAGTGACTGTAGAGGTTCAGTACAGTAGTTACAGTCCAGAATTACCTTAAGTAATCCTAGTCAATAAGACTGTATAGTGACTGTAGAGGTTCAGTACATTATCCTTGAGAGGATTATCAGTAAATGTTGTATTGTGAGGTTGTTGCCACATTTCCGTTGACATGTTGAATTAAATGGTTGTTAAGATATTTATATATTCTAAATATAGATTACGTCTGCCCTACCGACAATACCAAATATCAAAGGCCATCTCCAGGTATACATTTTACGCTTTCTTCTTGAAGTAATACAATCATGATTGAGACAGTATATTAGCACATGTAATATATACGCTCTGTTTAATCCATCTTAAATAGATTCACGAGACATTCAAGAAGATTTTCAAGTTTTATTTCTTAAAACCAAATTGCAATAAATTAAAGTTACCATTATAATTCCTGCTGGTGATCCTTATAAATCAATGAAAGTATTTGATAAAATTTTAACTGAAAAATCAGCATTAACATCGAGTCAAATTGTGCGTTCATGTATAGTGTTAACTTGGCCAAATACAAGACACTTTTACAATTTGAGAGAAACCTGATATGTGATGTATCACTGTTTATATACTCTATAAGTGCCATGTCTTTACGCAATGTGTGCTGTGTAAATTCAACATCTCGGTTATTGCTACATTGTTGGTCGGAAAGTAAGCATTTTATGAAACATCATGAAAGGTTTTCTTGCATGCAATAAGCATTCTAGTCTGCAAAAGTGCAAATTTTAAATTTTTCTTTGATCAAGTTAGTGTGGAAGTTATTGACACAACTATGTATTTATAAATTATATAGATTACACATATACATCATATATATATATGTGTTTATGAATTAGATAGATTACACATATACATCATATATATATATATGTGTTTATGAATTATATAGATTACACATATACATCATATATACATGTATTTATGAATTATATAGATTACATATACATCATATATATATATGTATTTATGAATTATATAGATTACACATATACATCATATATATATGTATTTATGAATTATATAGATTATATAAACATCATATATATATGTATTTATGAATTATATAGATTATATATACATCATATATATATATGTATTTATGAATTATGTAGATTATATATACATCATATATATAAGTATTTATGATTATATAGATTACACATATACATCATATATATATATGTTGTATATATATACTATATATATCATATATATATATATGATGTTTATATAAGCTATATAATTCATAAATTCATATATATATATGAATTTATGAATTATATAGATTATATATATACAACATATATATATATGTATATATAAAATATATATATAATATATACATAACATATATATGTATTTATGAATTATATAGATTACACATATACATCATATATATATATGCATATTTTAAAACCATTGCCAAAACAATCTTAAAGAGTGACGCCACAAACATTTCAACACACATTGTTACATTAAGAAATAAATGACTTGGTGTTATGCTCATAACTCATGATAAATACATTTAGTTTATATATCGGGATAAAATATAACACAATGATGATAAATACATTTAGTTTATATATCAGGATAAAATATAACACAATGATGATAAAACATCTGTCACAACTGTTTTCATGAGTATTTTGTTATTTTCTTAATTAACATTCCCTATTAAGAGAACATTTCTTAGAGAAGCATTAATTTGTAGGATCTTTATAACACTACGATCTTTGCCTCACGATGACCTAGATAGATACAATTAAAACCTTGGCATGCTGCCAACCTCTGTCGAGGGAAATGTTTGCTTTATAAATGAGTAAGTGAGAAAGACATGTGTAAGAATTTTTCAGAAAATGGGATTTGTAAAGCTATTGTGTAACATTAGATATTATAGATTTTACTGCACGGTCAAATATAGATTAGCAGTCTTGTACCAAAGGCAAACAGGGCTTTTTTTTACCCTAACCATCAAATGATGTGTTAAAAGTATTGGAATTTTTTTTTTATATACTGCCATTTTATTGAGTGTTCAGACAGGTAACATTTCCAACATTCCATGTACTTAGTCATGTTTAGATACTCAGGTTTAATTTCTCATTTCTATCTATTCAACACCTATTGATACAGGGAATGAATCAATTGAATACAGAGAGAAATTTATTCATCGGCACACGTTAGGATAAAACCTTTGATGCTAATTGGATAATTGTCTGTCACATGATAAAATCATGAAAGGTGATTGGATAGTAATATTGTATATATTGTATATGATGAAGTTAGGGAGTGTGGGGGAGTACTGGAATCACCCTGTCTGGATGTCTGTCGTCCGCAGTAACTTGTCCGGAAAACTCCTCCTTAACTAACAGGTGGATTTTATTGAAACTTTGCATAATTGATTGGTATCTTATGTAGTTGTGCACCAGCATCTTTTGTTGGAGTTATGCCCCTTTGTGCGAAATGCTTGATACTGGTTGGAGATTACAAATGAGAGACGCCCAACTTCAAAGCCTGTCAATTTTTACTGTTACATGACCGTGAGATTCTTTTGATGTACATCAAAGGAGCAAACTAGTCTCATCAACAAGGTGGCGCACACTGAGCCTTTAATTTTGCTATGACATATTCCAGGGGTGCAGAAAGCGTAACCATGGATATCGAGGATGAGTTGGATCATAATACTTCTCATAAAAAAACCTGAGGTGTTCCACACGAAATAACAGTGAAGGACAGTACCATCCGTGATATTTTCCCCACTAGATGACTATCATTAGACACATGGAAAAATGCTCTATGACACATTGTTTTTCATGTTTGGTAATCTTTAAGTGATGTTATGTAGTAAAACCTTTATTACTTACTGTTGAGGGCACAAGGTTGTTGTCGCGGATACAAACTCTTGTTATCACCGTAGACCAGAACCCACGGCAGAAAGTAACAGCCTTACACGACTGGTATATTGTGTAAAGAGAATATTTACCTGCTGTTTCTAAAAATAGTAACTTCAAATTAATATTGCATATCACCAATCTACATGTGATTAGGATTTAACCAATAAGGATTTAGGAAGAACTGATGTCTCCTGATATAATGTAGGGTAAACCTCATGGTATATATCTTGTAGGACGAATGCATGACGTATGTACAGACAACACTTGGCCATCGGTATCTGTTGATGATGTTTATGGGTGCTCTTACAATAGTTGTTATCAGTGATGAAATGGTTTATCTGTGTTAGATTTTTCATGTCTTCAATAAAAAAACCTCTTACACCCTGTACTAGTTTGCTTAATTGTTTGATATTTTTTGTCAAAAAACACAAATGGACACTGGTTCCCTATATGCTTTACATGAATTCATCACATTAACATAATCGGAGACCTATATATTACAGTTGTATGTCTCTATACCATACGCCTCTGTCATGATCAAGACTATTTCTGCTTCTGCCTCGTATAAGCCCCTTTGAGCAGTTTGAATATACTGCTAAGTTTGAACTGATATACACAAAGCTAAGATAGCCATAATTTATTCGCCAAAATGTAAAAGTCAAATGAAAAACTGTCTAGATGATTATTACATCCAAGTGTCTGCTTACTGGAGGTCAGTGTTACAGAGCTTACTGGAGGTCGGTGTTACAGAGCTTACTGGAGATCAGTGCTACATAGCTTACTGGAGATCAGTATTACAGAGCTTACTGGAGATCAGTGTTGCAGAGCTTACTGGAGGTCAGTGTTACAGAGCTTACTGGAGGTCAGTATTACAGAGCATTTTGGAGGTCAGTGTTACAGAGCTTACTGGAGGTCAGTGTTACAGAGCTTACTGGAGGTCAGTATTACAGAGCATTTTGGAGGTCAGTGTTACAGAGCTTACTGGAGGTCAGTGTTACAGAGCTTACTGGAGGTCAGTATTACAGAGCATTTTGGAGGTCAGTGTTACAGAGCTTACTGGAGGTCAGTGTTACAGAGCTTACTGGAGGTCAGTATTACAGAGCATTTTGGAGGTCAGTGTTACAGAGCTTACTGGAGGTCAGTGTTACAGAGCTTACTGGAGGTCAGTATTACAGAGCATTTTGGAGGTCAGTGTTACAGAGCTTACTGGAGGTCAGTGTTACATAGCTTACTGGAGGTCAGTGTTACAGAGCTTACTGGAGGTCAGTGTTACAGAGCTTACTGGAGGTCAGTGCTTCAGAGCTTACTGGAGGTCAGTGTTAAAGAGCTTACTGGAGGTCAGTGTTACAGAGCTTACTGGAAATCAGTGTTACAGGGCTTACTGGAGGTCAGTGTTACAGAGCTTACTGGAGATGATCAGTATTAAAGAGCCTACTGGAGATCAGTATTGCAGGGCTTACTGGAGGTCAGTGTTACAGAGCTTACTGGAGGTCAGTGTTACAGAGATTACTGGAGATCAGTGTAACAGGGCTTACTGGAGATCAGTATTGCAGAGCTTACTGGAGGTCAGTGTTACAGAGCTTACTGGAGATCAGTATTGCAGAGCTTACTGGAGGTCAGTGTTATAGAGCTTACTGGAGGTCAGTATTACAGAGCTTACTGGAGGTCAGTGTTACAGAGCTTACTGGAGGTCAGTGTAACATAGCTTACTGGAGGTTAGTGTTACATAGCTTACTGGAGATCAGTATTACAGAGCTTACTGGATGTCGGTGTTACAGGGCTTACTGGAGGTAAGTGTTACAGAGCTTACTAAAGGTAGGTGTTACAGAGCTTACTGGAGATCAGTGTTACATAGCTTACTGTAGGTCAGTGTTACATAGCTTACTGGAGGTCAGTGTTACAGGGCTTAATGGAGGTCAGTGTTACATAGCTTACTGGAGGTCAGTGTTACAGAGCTTATTGGAGATCAGTAGTACAGGGCTAACTGTAGGTCAGTGTTACTGGAGATCAGTGTAACAGAGCTTACTTGAGGTCAGTATTACATAGCTTACTGGAGGTCAGTGTTACAGGGCTTACTGGAGGACTGTCTTTTACAGAGCTTACTGGAGATCAGTGTTACAGAGCTTACTGTAGGTAAGTGGTACAGAGCTTACTGGAGATCAGTGTAACAGAGCTTACTTGAGGTCAGTCTTACATAGCTTACTGGAGGTCAGTGTTACAGAGCTTATTGGAGATCAGTAGTACAGGGCTAACTGTAGGTCAGTGTTACAGAGCTTACTGGAGGTCAGTGTTACAGAGCTTACTGGAGATCAGTATTATAGAGCTAACTAGAGATCAGTATTACAGGGCTTACTAGAGGTCAGTGTTGCATAGCTTACTGGAGGTCAGTGGTACAGAGCTTACTGGAGATCAGTTTTATAGATCTAACTAGAGATCAGTATTACAGGGCTTATCGGAGGCCAGTGTTACAGTGCTTACTGGAGATAAGTATTACATGGATTACTGGAGATCAGTAATACAGAGCTTACTGGAGATCAGTATTACAGGGCTTACTAGAGGTCAGTGTTTCAGGGCTTACTGGAGGTCAGTGTTACAGAACTAACTGGAGAA